TTCACAATGCAGTCATTTTTACTGCTTTGGGCAATATAGGTATATACTAAGTTTCAGTCTTTCTAGTGTTAATTACTGCTCGTCGCCTCTTTCTGTATTACAGAATGAATGCATTAAAAGCTTTTCATTGTAAACTGAAGATACAGAAATTCAAGACGAAGAAAATGGCTTTTAAATCATCCGGATATCTCAACCCGTTTCGAAGATATAAACTTCTAAAGTTCGGGCACAGCGTTTGGCACAGTGACCGAGTTTTGTGCCTGGCAAAAAAGCGTATCAGCTGAGCGTCTAGCCCGGTGAGCCGGTCAACGTGCGAGAAGGAGAGCAATAGCAACGCTAGCTGTCTTCATGCCCGGAGTCCGGAGTCAGTTTTTGCAGCCGACAAAAAACGTCTCGTCTCGAGAGCGATAACTTACACAATGATGAACGGCGTTCCTCGTACCTCCGTGTGAAACCGTTTTAAAGGGTGTAGAATCCTATTGGATCCCAACAGAACTTCTGTATTACATATGTACCGAGCGTTGTATCATGCCTCGGCACAGTCCATTCAAATTTGCAAAGCATAAATAGCATTTAAACGTCAATTAGAACAAGAAAACGGAATAATCTCTCCCCTGAATCTCCCCTCGCTGTTTCGTCATCCACGGTAACAGCTGCCTGCCAAATCTGAACGAGTTCATCAGGGTTTTTCACCCGTACAGTGCATATTTCCTCGAGCACATGTTCCAAGTTTAGAAGCCTTCAACATCTGATAAATGAAATACGACATTCGTTTATAATAAGAATGTATTTATTAATTAAATATTTAATTTAATTTTANTCTTGCTATATTTAGAAAATTGTAATTAATTTCTTATGAATCTTTCATTTCTATGTGACAAATGTTTAACTGGGATGAAAGTGAAGACTGATGAATTAGATGAGAAGACACGATTGGATTGCTAATCGAACTCGATGACTATAATTGTAAACGTGGGAGGACGAGAATATTTGTTTGGATTCCTCGCGAAGACATTGGGTGTTTGGTATCAAGGCAGCGGATGCTGGGGATCGCGTAACCTACGAGGTACGATCTCGGAGCATGGAGTTTAAAATCTCAGGGAGGATGAAATGTCACGAATGTCTCGAACACAATGTGCCGACGAAAGGAGGGGGAAGGCCGTGGCGAACGGCGGATAAGAAAAAGAAGAAGAAGAAGAAGAAGACGAAGGAACGAGGAGTATAAGAATGCAATCCATTCAGCAGGAGCCCGATCCAGAAGCGAGGTGTTAATGTCACGCACTTCGAAATCAGATGGAATCTAATTCAACGAACCTTGATCTTTACTGCCCCCCTTTTCTTTCCTGGCCTCGCGTGAAAGAACGCGCGCCTCGACGTTGGACAACCATTGACCCTTTGACTCGTTCAGAGAAATCCTAAGGACGAATTCAGAAAATTAATTACCTTCTTCTCTCAAGATTTTACTTTCGATATTATTTTTTTAATAAATCGTCGATACGAGAATTCTTGTAACGCATAATAGAGTGGAACGATTGAAACCGATCCCGTGGTTATTTTGAACGCTGCGATTACCATACAATTCCAGCCGGTGTGGTAGCCGTCGACGTCTACCGAATGGAACGATTAGACGCTCTTTCATTGTTATTAAGTGGCGCAAGGAATGTGGTTTCATCCCGGCTATAATAAGTCCCGCATCTCGTACAACCAAAGCCAGATACAATTGAAACTTCTTCAGGAGGTTTTGTAGAATGTTATTGTACAACACGGTTCGCTTTCTTCCTCTTCTGTTCTGTGAAATTAGCGAGCACCGTTGAACCATCGTTGTGCAATCATAAACGATTGCCTTCTGAAACTAGAAGACCTCATAACTCGGTTTCGCAATCGCTTCCTTCTAAAACTGCCTCGCCGGTTCTCCCTTCGTCCCTTTTCAGGAACGTCCAATTATTGCTGGTAGATTGGATTTTCGTCGAATGAAACATTCATGATTTCGTCAAACGTTGTTCAGTTTTCGTATTATTTAATATAACATGAGTTGTTTGTATAAAATCGCATTTGAGGGGGCTTGCGAAAGCAGGTAAATAATTCGTTATTTCTCCGTCGGATAACAGAATCAGTTTGACGCTTGAGCGATCTAACGCAACGTCGGAAAGGATACTGTAAAACTGTTCTCTATAAGAGTTCTCAAGTTCCAATTATGCAACGCGATTACCGTAACCCTTGGGACGCGCACTTAATGACGCGGGACGGTCTCTTTAAAAGTTGTGTAATTATAAAAGCCGCGGACGTGGCGCGATGGAATTAATCGACTGACTTTCTACAGGCTTTTGTGTCCTGTTATGATGCCTTAATTGAAAATAGGCCTGCCCTTTTTAACCCGACCTCTGACAGCCATAAATCATTTCCGCCATATGGCTTGTTGGCCTGGAAGATACGACCCGACGATGAAAACGTTCAAATGAATTTGTTTCATTTCGCAATGAATCAGATTTATAAATCTTTGTCTTCATTAATCATCAGACAGGTTTTTATGTATAAATTAAAACATCTGTGACATCAATTCTAAGATTGGACGATGCTTGCAACGTTCAGTTTGTGAATTATTAAGGTTGTATGAACCCTNTTAAATACTAATAAAGCCTATACACCTTTAATATAAAAAATATCTCTCAGATATGTTAATATAAAAAAATTGACAACATTAGAGAGTTTATTTTTTTACATTAGAACTACTAAATGATAGATTGGTACTATGAAATATCTAACGAACGATTAATTTGGAATGTTCGTCAGGTTGTATACGCTGAGACTTCTGAACGGCGGTGTACATACTCGATATCGTCCGATTAGATCGAACAAGATGTATACGCCTTCGTGACTTTTAACGTTGTTCTACGTCATTCAGAGAAATATACTAGTGGTAGCGTAAAAATGACGCCCACGCGCGAGAGCTCGCCTGTGGTTGATTTACGGTCGCGGTCGCGGTTCAAAGACGTCCAGCGTCTGCCGTATAGCAACGATTTGTAGCGGAGGTGATGGGTCATTTGTAACGTGGTTATGACTCGGTTGCTATTAGCCGCCTCCTAGATGAAGCAACACGCGTTCTTCAAACCTTTCGTGGTGATCGACGCATCGTAATCTGATTTCTGAACACGATGGCACCGGTTCTTTATAGCTGGTGCCCTTTCGGCTGGCCTTTGCTCGACCTTACCACCGATATTAGCACTTATTATCGACATTTTTATCGGGGCGTCCGCGCGTCCACCGCGCGAATAATAAATTATCGTCGCAATTTCGTTTCACAGTTGAACGTCTCCGTGGATGCTCTCACTGGTCGAATCGAAGAACTGAAATTCTTGTCCTTTCTCACGGGTGAAAGGTATTTTAATATTTAATGCCGCGTCCCGGTTTTCAAGCAGCTCTCCAGGAAAATCAATATTAGTAGACTAATTGATGTTGCAACCCAGGTAACACTTCCTCGTACACTTCTTCAGTTAAAATCTAACGCCGTGCGCTTAAGGAGGTTAGTCCCGCTCAGTTGGTCTCAATCATTTCAAGTGTTGCCACGTAGTGGTACATGTATTAAATAGAAACAAATGGTTGAGAATCTTTGGCCCTCTAATACATCGCACAGCGTATACATACGCACTTACACAAGCTTACACAGAAGAGC